TAATCTATGCATGGTGTATGCGTAACATTATGCCTGGCGCTATGCATCGAAATTTTGAAAAATGTTCATTGGGATGTTCCAGATTATAAAAACATGTGGCGCGTTTTATCTGCACGAATTGCGGACAACAGGTATCTGCTCGATAACTTCTCCTGAATGGCAAGCAAACTGCTTTAAATTGTTGTATGTAATTGTTGTATATAAACAAAAGGTATTTTCACACTCATTTTTCTATTTATTAATTCATCTTTTTCATTGCCTCATAGATTTCATCAAAAAAACGTTAAAGAATGTGTCATTTAAACTCAAACCAAAGCTGTGTTAATCCAGATAAAAAGCCATCATCACGAAAATCGTTATTTCAATTTAGTTCAAATCAAATCATATTAAATAAAATGACGAATTACCATATCATCGTTCCTTGAGTAGAGTTTTCACTTCAAACAGACTCATAAACAGCATTTGTGTTGATGTTTACGTCCAATTGTCACCTCCATTTCGCTATCAACGTTAGAACATTTTCTTCTTTGGGTTAAACAAATCGAATGAACCATTTTCTCTCTCTATGTGTCTCTCAAAATTCAAATTGGCGCGTTAATATCTCGCCATTTCATTGGCCAGTGTTGCTTTTGTAAGGTTTTAAAATACAGAATTTGAATTTCACCTGTCAAAACAATACGATTCCACGGTTAAAAAGTTGTTTTCTTTGATATTTTTACAATAAAAATTATTATTCAATTCAAGAAGAAAATGTTTTTTACTTGTCCGTGCCGAGGTAGACGTACGGGGGTTGAAATTGATTGTCCGAGTCGATCATGTGAAGATGTTTTTCATATCGAGTGCCTGATTTTAGGTCAACAGACAAATATGTTGTATGAAAAAGAATGCCGCGGCTGTTTCAATTCACCAACTACTGCATTTCTTCTTGATATGGTCGAAGTCTGTCTAGGCACATTACAACTTCAAATTGACGAGAATGAGCATGAACTCCAATACCTGAATCTTCCAGCTGATCAAAATATGTTGCTCATTTTAACTGCACGGATTAACGAAAACCTGGATCTATTCAATAACTTGACCCAATTGGCAACCACACTACCTCAAATTGATGTATAATGTATGTAAACAAAAGGTATTTTCACTCTCATTTTTCTCTTTATTTATTCATCTTTTTCTTTACTTCATAGATTTCATCAACAAACGTCAAAGCATGTGTCATTTAAACTCAAAACAAAGCTGTGTTAATCAACTTAAGAAGCCATCATCAAGAAAATCGTTGTTTCAATTTAATTAAAATCAAATCATATTAAATAAAATCAAGAATTATCATAGTATCGTTCCTCGAGTTGAGTTTTCACTTCAAACTGGTTCATAATAATCAGCATTCGTGTTGATATTTACGTCTAATTGTCATTCCCATTCCGCTCTGTGTCACCGTTGTTGTCTAAATGAAAAACGAAAACATTCGAAATTACCAGAATTGGAAAATCTGAGCGGGCGAAAATTTGTGTTCTTACTTTTTTCTTGGCTTCTCAGATATTTGAATAATTGATAATTCATTTCCATTTCTGGTGGTGGGTACATATTCGATTTGTATTTTGTGTTCGCATCTGGTTGATTTCCCAATCGTTGACGTGCTTCAGCAATTCTCTCCTTTGCCACTTTTTTCAACTGTGTGTATCTGCTCCACCGACGTTTCGTCTCGAACTCGTACCAATCCTTAGTATTTTCCTCATATGGGTTTATCGCATTTGGATCAATCAACTCCTCTTTGGATTTTTCTTGTATCCTCTTTTCTATTTCCTTTCTACGTATGATTGCTGCAGCAAGAGCAGGCGATATACCACTGTTATCGCTCATCTCAGACTGAAAAATAACAAAAGAAACATTTTACAATATAATACTTGATTCCTTTTGGCAAACTTACTCTATTTCTCGACGATTCAGTTGAAATTTCACAATTTAAAATGAGATTGTGATAGAATATTCGATTTTTGAATGAATTAAATGAAATAATTAAGAATCTGAATGAATGCGTCAAAACAATAGAATATTTCATAGAGATCTGAAGTTGGAAGCGAAATAAACACAAAGACGAGCAATCAACACATCAGGCAATGCTTGTTCACTCTTTCTACCATCTCTCTGTCTCTGTGTGTATGTTTGCGCACACAAATGGAATTCGATCACTTTCACGACGATTGAAGTATTCATGACAGGTTGTCTGTGTTGTGAGCCACCAGGGAACGTTGTTCGTGTGTATGCGTTAGTATGCGTATGTATTAGTGATATACGACTGTTCCAAAGCAGAAATTTTCAGCGGCGCCACTGCTAGAAAAAACGAAACACAAAACATCAATAGATTCAAAGTGCTCAGTGAGTTTTTACGCCCAGCCAACAGCAAAACACATTCTTTTCCTTCCTTTTGCTGCATTAAAACATTTATTTATTTAACCCAGTCGATTCAATTTTAGTTTCAATGTGAAAAAAATTACCCAATTTTGCAATCAAATGCAAATAAATTTTCGTTAAATTGAATTTCGGATTTTCGTTGTAAATTCGTTTGTGTATGTGTGTATATGTGTGTGTGTATGTGAAAACATAAAATGAGTAATATTAATAAATGCTGCTGCGTCTCGACTGCCATATAAACAAATACGAACAGGAACGAAATAAAAAAAAGAAACCTATTCACACACCTTCAAACGAGTAGTACAGAGTAGAAGGTGCATCTATCCGTCGTTGTTGACTCCATTGTGTGTACTTTTCTCTCTGCTTTTTACATGTCAAACGGCGTTCGCGTTAGTCATCGCCAAACAATTTTGTGTGTTTATTGTTGCGTTACAAATTTACTGTGTGTACGAACTGCAAATTTAAAGTGAAAAACCCCAAATTCCTATTTTGGTTTTTATTTTGCTTTCAATTTTGGGTTTGAAAAGAAAGAAAAAAAATTGTCCAGCGAAAAAAAACAACAATATTAAAACAACAGACAAATAGAGACAAACATGAGTACGATTGGTGATTTTGGTACGCTTTCGCTAAAATGGGATCTGAAAAATTTGGAAATTCGTACGATGTCGGTGGAGAAAACACTTGAGCCACTTGTGTTGCAAGTTACAACGTTGGTCAACACAAAAGGACCCAGCAAAAAGAAGAAAGGTTCGCTAAAAAATAAAATTTCATTTGGATTTTAACATTTTCTCTTTCGGGTAAAACAAATCGAATGAACCATTTTCTCTCTCTATATGTGTGCGTGCTATTCAGTGAACTACTAAATAAGCAAGAAAAAAAAACACAACTACAAAGCGGCAAGTGAAATGCCATCAGTATTGGCCAGACCGAATCGGACCGGAGCACACAATGACATTGAACGATCTTGGCCTAACGGTAGAATATTTAAAATGCGAAAACTATACAAACTTTTCGAAGCGAACATTTCGTCTGACCGACACGGAATCATCGAAATCACGCGAAGTAATCCAGTTCCACTATACCAGCTGGCCGGATTTCTATGTTCCTAGCTCTCCGGTGGCCTTTTTGCAATTTTTGAAAAAGGTACGAGACTCAGGCGCATTGAATTCCGACGTTGGACAAGCGGTCGTACACTGTAGCGCCGGCATCGGACGATCCGGAACGTTTTGTTTAGTCGATAGTTGCTTAGTGTTGGTGGAAAAAGACGGGAAAAACAAGATAAGTGTTCCTGATTTGTTGCTTAAACTACGACGATCGCGAATGCCAACCACTTCACCACCGATTATACTCTTTATACATTCAAAAAGCGTCTCAAGAAATTAGTTCTTACCTGATCGATTCGTGACTTCTTTTCTCTCTATAATCAATTTAAATAACTCCTTAACCCTCTTAATTCATCTTAAAATTGCTTAAAATCTAATGAAATTGTGATAATATTTTTTAATAAATATAAGGAAAACAAACCAATTGCAATTGACAAAAAAAAAACATTAAAAATTGGTCCTAAAATTGTATATATATGGACTGGTAATTTATTTAGATACCCCAATATTCTCGAACAAAAATTAAAAATGTAATCAAAATGATAGAAAAAAAAAATTTGTCTAATGATTTGGGAGTAGTGTGGTCATAACATGTAAAGTCATTTCAATAGTAGATCTCAACCATTGTATAATTTAGTTGTAAGTATGAAGAAACCAAATAAATAATAATAATAATAATAATAATGGGCTTAATACAAACAGCGGACCAATTGTATTTTTCATATCAAGCAATCATTGGAGGAATCAAGCATTTCAACGATCCAGTGAGTGTTTCTCGTTATGTTTTTCTGGTCTTTTTGAACGCGTCTTGCGTTAAGCAAAACCTAATTGTATTCATTTTCAACAGACCTTCGGCGACCATGACGAAGTTCCAAAAATTGACAACGAAGACTATAGTACTGAAACGGATCCGCCTAGACCACCGCCACGGTGAACATCAATATTACAGTCACAACATGTAATGAACCAATCGAATTCTACTCACATTCGCATATGGACTAATAAATACCTTCTTACGTTCAATAGAAACCACTGCCAACTGTACCAACAAATGATAACGACCATGTATCGGTTAATAATAATAATAACTCGGAGAATGGTGATGGAACGCGTTCTGAACGCCCGTTGCCACCATTGCCCGATGAGTCGCCAGATGATAGCGATAGTGAAGACATCGAGGATGATTCAGATGAGGACATGAGCGACGAACAAGATGTTGATTTAGATGATGACGACAACGACGACGACGATGGTGTGGATGATGACGAACAAGCAACTACGGAGCAAACCACAAAATTGCTCAACGGAACTAGTAGTAATGGAAGCAATGAGTGTGAAGACAGTTTCAATCCGGATGCAACGTTACCACCGTCACCAACAAAAATGTCAACCACAAGCCTCACCGAATTCAACAATTCGAATTCATCACTGGAAACACCGTCATCACCGGAGAACGACAGGTTCTATATCCCAATTTATTGCCAACACACAAAAAGTTCGTTTCAGGACTCAATGGTTTTGTTTATATTATTTTCGTTTACAGTGGATTGACGTCGACTGCTGAACTCCGACGACGAAAACGAAAGGAACGCAATGCAGACATCGAGGCGAAAATTAAGGATATCAAGAGAAAACAGAAAGAAACGGAGGCTGCTGCTGAAGCAGCACCAAAAAAACGCAGGTGCCACATGATTTTTTCTGGTGTTGTTGTTTGCGTTATTTGTTGTGCAAATGTATACTCGAAGTTCGGTCAAACGAAAATCATTTTTCCCCTTTCCCCATTTAAAAAAAAAAAAAACCAATTCGAATAATTTTCTTTTAATTACTTTTTTTTTCTTCTCCAAATTGCAATTCAAAACGTGTTCTATGTAATCTCCGCCAATTTTCTTTTCCGTTTCTTCGCGACTTCTCAATTTTTATTTTGAAGAATTATTCCATTTGAAAATACAAAGAATAGATACAATTGTCTTCTCTTATGGACTAGGAATTTACATGAAAATGAGAACTAAATCATTTTATCCACTCTTTTAATGGGACAAGAAACTCCTTTGGTTTATTCCGCGTAATTTTCCTCCCCTAATCGGATAGATAGATGTGTATTTTTATTTATCATCGTTGTCATGCAAGAAACATTCGAAAATTTGAAAAATGATTCCCCTTCCCCCAAAAAACAATCGATTGAGAGCCAGAAAAGATGATCCGAATTGATTGACTAAATTTTAAGATGAAAGTGAAAGATGAGATATTAACTAAGGCTACATGGCTTGAAATGATTTATATATATAATATGTATGAAACCAGGTAAATGCCACAGACTGATAAGCAATTAACCTTTGAACAAAACAAAACAAAACAAAAACAAATCAAACGGGGAAAAAAAGTCTTTAATAAAAATGAACTTATTTGTATATATGAGAAACCTTTTGAGAATATGTGAACAAACAGGAACTGTAGCATTTTCGAAATTGTCCACCATAAAATGAAATAAAACGAAATAAGTACCATATATAGCGCCCTATACGGCCCTCCTCAATCTTTTAACAAAAAATAAAACGAAGCGGAGAAGAAATAAAATCACATTTAACTAACCAGATTCGAGAAGCATTCGCCCTGCACAGAATCCACATAGAACTTGTATAGCAATTGATCAACACTAAATTGATCGAATTAATTATATTTTGTATTAAGAGGCTGTTCCTAGTGAAATCACGGGCCGCTACAGAACAATTACAATAGAGTACGTTAGGAGCCTCGTGTTTTTTACATACACATTTTAGACATTTATTTAGAGATATTTTTTCTTCTAACTTTTTACTACTGGTACTGGTTTTCCTGTTATAAATGCCTTGGTTTCGATGAATTTTTGTATGGAAATTTGAATAGAAGCGAAACAAAAACTACAAACAAAGAAGAAAAAGAACAAAATTGAATAGGAACTTGCCCCAGTGCAAGCAAGTAAATACGACTCATTATATTTTTTTTATTTTTTATTCGGATGAGATTATAACTGTTTGACAACAGTTTGAATATGTATAATTTAAACATTGACCATTTCATTTTATTTTTCTTCACTCTAATTTTTTTTTTCTGTTTTGGATGATATGAAAATGAATCCAGTTTAAAAAGTTTTTTTCCCTTTAGATTTATATATTGTATAGTAATTGCATGAAGAGAAAATGAACCCCGAAACAGACAGAGTGAGTTAATAAGTAGGTGGACATCTTTTAGAAATTGAAATAATATATATATACATATATAACAATCAACTGCGATTATCAACTATGAACGATAACCCACTAATACAATAGGATTAGTAGTGAACAACATACGAGACGAGAACATAATTGAACGATTAATACAAAAATCAATTTTTATCCATATTTTACGAGCATTTTGAAGGCATTTTATAGCTAACAAACCACACACACACATAAATATATTTTTGGACAGGAAAAACAAACAAAGAAAAAATTTAATAAAAAAAACGAAATCTCAAAAGCCATGTATAAAAAGTTTAGATTTTGACAGACTAAAGTAATGAGTGAGAGTGATCGATTGAGATGATATTTGTTAGCCCATGTCAATAAATACACCCACACACATTGGATATATATCAAGAAGAAAAAATCAAATAAGTGAACTCGATGTAAATTAAAAGCAATAAATTACAATTAGTACGAACAGAAAACAGAAATTGTATTTTTATTGCATTGTTCTTTTAAATTGTTTGAAATTTAAATTCAATTTAGTGGTTTTCTAATTCTAGACCAAGATGATAAATGCAATTACAAACATGTACCCGCTAATTTTATACTAACTGTAATGGAAACGCTAAAGTGCAACAATATCAGATTAGGTCACACATTGTCAACAGATGAGGTTTTTTAAGGCATAAAATCACAATTTACAGACACATTCTTGGGTGGATTGATTGAATGATTGCAAGCCACAGAATAAATTCAAAGTAACTAAACATTTTTTTAAAAATCAAATCAGATGAAAAACCTCTAGACGAGGTTAAAATGAAATGACGCTCCTGTGCGTGGATTTACCACTCAAAATGACTGATATCATTTTGAGTGACGCTAGGACGCTGGTTTATCTCTGGATATAAAGATGTATTTTTCGCATTCAATATTGTGAAAATTTATTCACAATAAGGAAAAATATCGCGTCACGACTTTTAGACGACAAAACGCTTGAAAACTTGATCTAAAATCAAAAGTCGTGACGCGATATTTTTCCTTATTGTAAGTAAATTTTCACAATAGTGAATGCGAAAAATACTTTTGAACTTTGTATCCAGAGATAA